CGTGGGCCACCGGGTGGCACCAGGCTCCCACGGAAAGGTGGGCACACGGCTACCCACTGCAGCCACCCCCCCCAACCCATCATATACCCTTCACCCTCCCGGGCACCCCTTGCTTACCCACCCCCCAGCTCCAGCCAGCCCTCTGGCACTCTCTGGCACTGGAGCCCCGCTCGGCTAATGAGAATCACTTGGCTAATGAGGGTCATTTGGCTAATGAGGGTCACTTGGCTAATGCAGACCACAGGCCCTGGTGCCACCAGCACCAGCCCGGGGTGCCCCTGCCCCCCCCAGGGCGCTCCATGCATCTTCCAGCGCTGCCGTCCTGCTCCGCAGGCCCTTTGGCTTTCCAGAGCCCAGCAGGGCGGGAGGGGGCTCAGGGTAGCTTTTTGGGGGGGCAGAGACCCCAGCAGCCCCTGCCGGGGGGCTGAAGCATAGGGGCTGCTCTGTGAGGGTGGATGGAAGGAGAGCAGGAGCTATCTGATGTCTCAGGTTCTGAGATGGCCACAACTGGAATACTGTGTCCAGTTTTGGGCTCCCCAGTTCAAGAGAGACAGGGAACTGCTGGAGAGGGTCCAGTGTAGGGCCACTAAGATGATGGAGGGATTGGAGCATCTCCCGTATGAGGAAAGGCTGAGAGCGCTGGGACTCTTTAGCCTGGAGAAGAGAAGGCTGAGGGGAGACCTTATTATTGCGTACAAGTATCTAAAGGGTGGGCTGAAGGAGGATGGAGCCAGAGTCTTTCCAGTGGGTCCCAGTGACAGGACGAGGGGCAATGGGCACAAGATGGAACATAGGAAGTTCCGTTCAAACACAAGGAAAAACTTCTTTACGGTGAGGGTGAGAGCACTGGCACAGGCTGCCCAGGGAGGGGGTGGAGACCCCTTCTCAGGAGATTTTTAAGACCCTCCTGGATGTGAGTAATGTGCTGAGGGCAATCCTGCTTTAGCAGGGGAGTTGGACTAGATGATCTCTAGAGGTCTGATTCCGTGAGATCCTGCCTGCGGCTGGGGCAGCTTGCCGGGGGGGCCGAGGGCA